TGATTAAATAATGCAGTATAATTGCCGTTGTTAACACTATATCTTTGAGAAGAGCCAGTGACATATCCGACATTCTTAAGACGATTAAATTTTTTATATAGTCGCTGTTTTTAAGACTACAACTTTCAGAAGACTCATTGACACTTCAACATCTGTTAGGATATTCAAACCCCATCTTTATATATTTGCTGTTATTAACGCTATAATTTTACGGAGATTCATAAATATATACAATATTGTTCAAGTGTTTCCTTTAAAATAATTGGTGCTATTAGTAATAAAATTTTGAGAAGAGTCATTGGCATATAAATCAATTAAGGAGAAGAAAAAACACGTTTCCATATCAGCGCTGAGAAAAAGAGTGTGATTTCAGTACCTGGTTAAGGCGGTGGAGAATTTGGAGTGGGGAATTAACAGGAGATAACTGATAACTGACATCCATTAGACATGACACCTGGAACTAGAACAGGCTACCCCAGTGAGAGAAATAAATGGTTCAGTTCCTCATTTCAACCACCTGAAGAATATGGCGACAAAGATGAGGAGAATAGTCCGAATAATGAAAATAGTGTACATAACTCCTTATCTCAGAAATATAGTCAGATGATATAAATCCATATAAATATATGATTTGCTTTTTAGTACAAATCTTTAAAGTCATCATATGTCCGACTTTTATTATTTGAACGTCTCTTAGATCTCAACTTCACTTCAGAACTTAAATGCAACACATACAATTTTCTGGCTGATGATATCTCTTTATCTGATCCCATGCAAGTATTGCAATATACGGGTATATCCACTTAATGTACTCTTACTTAAGAGGATTACCCCACTTATAACAAAACAACATTTAGTAACACTCTTGCTTGAGTGACTCTTAAACTCTATATTTTGGGTGAATATACGCTAAAAATATTTCCGTTGATAAAGATGGTGAGAATCGCTCCAGAAATATATTATTAGCGTACGCAATTTATATTATTCGGACTATTGTCCTCATCTTTGTCGCCATATTTATCACAACGTTTCGGCCGTTGTACGCTCCAGCTTTCTTCGGGTGGTTGGAATGCCGAACTGAATCCTTTATTTCGTTCACTGTTCTAGTTCTACGTACCATGTCTAATGCATGTAAGTTATCAGTTATCTCCTGTTAATTCCCCTCTCCAAGTTCTTCGATGCCTTAACCTGGTATTGAACTCACACTGTTTGTGTCCTGTCACTGGATCTAACTAAGGACACTTGGCACAGAGGATAAAGGCGCTAGTAATATTATAATGAGAGAAACTTCCACCATTCGCCCTCCATTGTAATAAATATGGCAACAAGGATGAGGACAATAGCCCGAATAATGTAAATAGTGTACATAATACCTCATCTCAGAAATATAGACAGATATTGAAGGGCCGAAACGTTGTAATAAATATGGCGACCAGGATGAGGAAAATAGCCCGAAAAATGTAAATAGTGTACATAATACCTCATCTCAGAAATATAGACAGATATTGAAGGGCCGAAACGTTGTAATAAATATGGCGACAAGGATGAGGACAATAGTCCGAATAATGTAAATAGTGTCCATAATACCTCATCTCAGAAATATAGACAGATACAAATAAAGGTATTGAAAGGTAACATCTAGATTTACGGCCGCATTACGTTGAAGCATCGGTTCCTGTACGATCAGCGAAGTTTAGCAACGTTGAGCCTGTTCAGTACCTAGATGGATAACCGCATGTGAATACCAGGTGCTTTAACCTTAGATGCGCAGGTGATGTAATGTAATGGCTCAGCATTGTTAATCAGAGGAGCGAGTTTCAATTCCCACTGGATTCGTTATATTCACTTACACTCAAATACCATTGAGAAAGATATGAATAATCATATTCGTTCCCCAGCTATGGGTTAATTAGTGAGACTCGTATGACTAAGATATTATTATCTCCAAAGACAAAAAAATTCTTACAATCTGAATAAATTTTCTGACTTTAATGATTTGAGCCCTGACCACCGCTTTACCGGTGGTAGAGAAAAATGACACCGGTTTAACAGTGGATAAACATTTGTAACTATTTTTATATCTAACGGGAGACATTAGATACCAATTATTTGCGAATATTTACTAGGGAGTTCAGGTAGAAGTGTTAAAACTGTGTAGGGACGCAGGTTTCAAAACCTGCAAATAAGTCAGGGAAAACCAATCAATCATGTGACATCTTGTAGAAATTGTAATCAGCAAAAACGTTTCCCTTTTCACCTCGGACTATAGTTCTTGGAAAGGCACAAATCCACTTTCCCTGAACGTATGGCATTTGGATAATAGGTTGGATTATTTCTTTTTATATTAAGACACCCAGTGAAAATCATAATCTTAATGGTCATGTGAAGCAACAACTTTAGATATAATCCTGGATGATGTGCCCGCTTGTGAATGATCGAAAAACAGAAAGAAATCCCTCGCATGTGGAGAGGAGAAAAGGTGAGCGCAGGCCTATAACTACATCCCATAAAAATACATCTATTCAAGATGCAGGACTCTAGTCAACATGGGGATGATTAGTCAAATGGTGAAAATGCTAGTATTAATCGCTTCCTTATACTGAAACCTTCGACATTCATTGGCGAAAGAGTCAATGTGTTGATGGATGAAATTTATTTTAAAAATTTTTATTTAAAAATTATTTTCAGGAAAATAAGATGTTCGAATCCACTAGCTGTCATTGATCTTTCCAGCTCTGATGGAGGTTTTCTTCCTAACCTTTTATTTGAAGTGGTGTGGAACGTCAACATCTTCATTTTATCCTTATTTTCGAAACGTTGCAATAAATATGGCGACAAGGATGAGGACAATAGTCCGAATAATGTAAATAGTGTACATAATACCTCATCTCAGAAATAGAGACAGGTGATTTTTTTTTTGTTAAACTAAATATATATTGTATTCATAAGTAATAAACACTATTTACATTGTTCTGACTATTGTCCTCATCTTTATTGTAATATATACGACGTTTCGGCTATTGTACCCTTCGGCCTTCTTTTGGATATACGCTGGAATTTAGATTCGAACGCTTCGTTTAGTCCACCAGAGTAGATTGTTTCACCTGATATGCTTCTTCTGGATATCCCAGTTTCAATTATGTTCCATTAACTCCAGTAACTCAACTCTAAAAGTTTTTGTTCACTTCTGCTGTGGCCAGGTATTGAACTAAAAACCCTGTGGGTCAAGTTCTTGGTTTGCTTCAACCAACGATTTTATCTACTGATCCTTGGCGAAAAATGGCTCAGTGGTTAAAAGCGATCGTTGAAGTAATCCAGTTTAAATAACGTTTAAAGTGATAAAAATCTGTCAGATTAAGCTATATATATAAAACAGAGGATGTCTATGTGCCTTTCTATCTGTGTGATAGCTTTTCACTCGAGATCCATCCAACCGATTTTGACCAAACTTGACACATACATTATACAATGTAAGAGATAGGTTCTTAGCGTAAAAAATTGAAAATTAAAAAAAAATCGGTAAATCCGATTAAAATTCGATAAATTCAACTTTTTTTTCCTTTGGTTTCGTTCAGACTCAGTATGTAGATTACTTACATCATGACGAGCTCAACGATACCTCATTTTTATTTCTACGTCACTGCGTTTAGCGAAAAACGAAAAATCGATTTGAATACAAATTTCAAACTAAAAACTGCCTTGATTTTCAAGCAATCTAATGAAAACTTCACTCAATTGTAACCAACCATAAGTTGATTGCCTAACAAACATTTAACTTGATAACTGAGTCCACCCATATAGTGAACACCCACGTAAATAGCGAAAAATGGCGATTTTACTTGTATCTTTCGTATTTGTCGTTGATCTTTCGACCAATTTTCATCAAACTTAACAATTACTTAATAAATGTATCCTCTTTTACACTCCTGAAAAATTTTCATTTGGATACGAAATTGTGCAGATATGAAAAAAAAACTTTGTGAGATCTACAAAATTTTGCTTGAAAGAAGAACTTTCGCTTGAAAAACATCAAATTTGGCCCCCTCTGACAGACTTCTCTTCGTGGCCAAGACGGCAAAGCGTACAGGGATAAACGGTAGGTCAATCTGCCCTGAGTGAAGAAGGTTCGATAGAATGATAGGATAAAGAGCAAATACTAAATGTTTAGCATTTTAATATGTTTCGCTTTATTTTAGCTTCATTAACAAATGAGATATGGAGAAATAAGAAGAAAGAAATTCTGCTACATTTAATTTTGTGTTTTTTTTTTTAAATTTGCATTGGTTAATAAGGCTCAAAAAAATTTAACAGAATCCAAATAAAAAGTAAATATTGTTTTAAACATAAGTGTTTCATAATTCTAGTTTGTCGGTGAGCCGAGTTCGAATTCCAGTCGTATCCATTGCATTCACTTTCGTGCTAATACGCTTGGGAAAGGGTGTGAATCCTCTTCTTCTCCCTCCAGCAGGACAGATTGGGTCCTATAGCCTTGGATAGCAACTGGTCTAGGAGAAGGACAACTCTGAATTCAAAACATGTGGAGGGTCGTTTAGGGACCCTGTGGCACGTAGTGCACTGGGTCTCTGTATTCGGCCCTTCAAAAAGTGTGGATGGTCCTGCACGAAACCTTCACCACTATAATCAAATCTCATGTGCTGTTGTCGGGCTGTCGGTTTCCCAGGAACTGATCTACTTGACCCTAATACGTCGAATTGGACGGGAGAGTCGAGTATATATATATATATATATATATATATATATATATATATATATATATATATATATATATATATATATATCTGTGTGTGTGTGTGTGTGTGTGTGTGTGTGTGTGTGTAATACTAAAACTCTGTGAAAGTTGTTTGCTTGCTTGCTTGTGTATTTGCCACCGTGCACACGAAGTCTTATAAAGAGAGTGAAATGATGTAAATTTATTATCGTGTAGGAAGCTGGGAGAGAATGAACTGGTGCGAATTGACAGTGAGACCAAAAGAAGAAGAATGCTCTCTCTTTCCACCTCTCTCTTTATACATCTCTCTTTTCACCCCTCTCTCTCTTTCCACCTCTCTTTCTTTCCACCTCTCTCTTTCCACCTCTCTCTCTTTCCACCTCCCTTTCTTTCCACCTCTCTCTTTCAACCTCTCTCTCTCATTCCACCTCTCTCTCTTTCCACCTCTCTCTCTCTCTCTTTCCACCTCTCTGTTTTTCCACCACTCTCTCTCTTTCCACCGTCCTTTCTTTCCACTTCTCTCTCTCTCTTTCCGCCACTCTCGCTTTCCACCTCTCTCTCTTTCCAACGCTCTCTCTTTCCACCTCTCTCTTTCCACCTCTCTCTTTTCACCTCTCTCTTTCCACCTCCCATTTTCACCTCTCTCTTTCCACCTCTATTTCTTTCTACCACTCTCTCTTTGCACCATCCTCTCTCTTTTTCCACCTTCCCGTGGTTGTGTTCGTGCTTATATTTCAGCTTTCATTAAACTAACAATATTTTAAATACTTAAAAAAAAAATTTTCCCATATTTAAAAATATTTTCAAGTGAATATGATTTAAAATACGATTTGTTTATACAGTAAATATTTTTATTTCAACTTTCTTCAAACAGAGATTTTTTTTAATGTTGAAAATAACTTCAATGTTTTATAATCTGAACGTTCAGTGACGTAATGGGTCACGTGTAGTATAATAGTAAAAGTCTGTGAATCGTTCATACCATCGGCCGTCGGACGCATCATAATTTAATTTTCTTTCCATCTTACTCTTCCCACCTCTTTCTTTTCACCTCTCTCTCTCTTTCTACCTCCCTCTCTTTCCACCTCTGTCTTGCCACTTCTATCTCTATCCACCTCTCTGTCTTCTCACCTCTCTCTTACAACCTTTCTCTTTCTACTTCTCTGTCTTTCCACATTTCTCTTTCCACTTCTTTTTTCTACTTCTCACTTTCTACTTCTCTTTCTTTCTACCTCTCTCTTTTCATCTCTCACTTTCCACCTCTCTGTTTTTCCATCTTACTCTTTCCACCTCTCTGTCTTTCCACCTCTCTCTTTTCCACTCTCTCTTTCTACCTCTCTCTTTTCACCTCTCTCACTTTCCATCTCCCTCTTTTCCACTCTCTGTCTTTCCACTCTCTCTTTCTACCTCTCTCTTTTCACCTCTCTCACTTTCCATCTCTTGCTTGCCATCTCTCTGTCTTTCCACCTCTCTCTTTCTACCTCTCTCTTTTCATCTCTCTCTCTTTCCACCTCCCTCTTTTCCACTCTCTGTCTTTCCACTCTCTCTTTCTACCTCTCTCTTTTCACCTCTCTCACTTTCCATCTCCCGCTTGTCACCTCTCTGTCTTTCCACCTCTGTCTTTCTACCTCTCTCTTTTCATCTCTCTCTTCTTTACACCTCCCTCTTTTCCCCTCTCTGTCTTTCCACTCTCTCTTTCTACCTCTCTCTTTTCACCTCTCTCACTTTCCATCTCTCGCTTGTCACCTCTCTGTCTTTCCACCTCTGTCTTTCTACCTCTCTCTTTTCATCTCTCTCTCTCTTTCCACCTCCCTCTTTTCCCCTCTCTGTCTTTCCACTCTCTCTTTCTACCTCTCTCTTTTCACCTCTCTCACTTTCCATCTCTCGCTTGTCACCTCTCTGTCTTTCCACCTCTATCTTTATACCTCTCTCTCTCCACCTCTCTCTTTTCACCTCTCTGTCTTTCCACTTTCCCTTTATACCTCTCTCTTTGCACCTCACTCTTTTTCCCCTTCTCCTTCTTTCAACCTCTTTGTGATTGCGTGCATGATTATTTAGATTTCAGCTTATTTTTTTAAAAAAATAAACAATATTTTAAATATTTAAAAATATTTTTGGGCATATTTAAAAATATTTTCAAGTGAATATGATTTAAATATATCTTTTAGCATATTAAAAATATTTTAAGTTAGTCTGAATTTAAAATAATTTAAGTGAATAATATTTTAAAATGCGAATTGTTTATACAGTAAGTAAGTATTTTTATTTCAACTTTCTTCAAACACACAACACTTTTAATGTTGAAATCAACTTCAATATTTTATAAACTGAAGCGTCAATGACCCAACGAATCACGGTTAGTTATAGTTTAAAATTTGCTATATTGATTTAAAGATCGGATTGAAACGTGGAAATGACAGTCTACATACGTGTTGATCCCCATGTACATACGGTCTATACAACCATACATACATAATTATTACATAATAATAAAAAAAATGGTTTGTCTATATTTCAAATATAAGAGGAGGAGGAGGAGGAGGACAACAACACTCAGAAAACAGTCTGCCTGCCTTATGTGAAGGGGTTATCAGAGAAAATACAAAGGATCTGCGGTCCATATAACATCAGGACAACCTTCAAAAGCGTGTCAACACTTCGCAGGTATCTCTCACAAGTGAGACCCCCCATAGAGAGGAACATGACTAAAGACTGTGTGTACGCTATCCCGAGCAGCTGCGGAAAGGAATATAAAGGAGAGACAGGCCGCCCCCTTAAGGTAAGGCTTCAAGAACACCAGAAAGCTGTAATGCGAGGGGAAGTAGAAAAATCAGGCGTGGCTGACCACATATGGAGAGAGAAGGAGATCACCGCCCCTGTGGGATCATGTTGAGATCATAGACAGGGAACACCATTGGAAAATTCGTAAACTTATGAATCATAACATATGCTAGGCCACAAAAATCTCCTGAGCCGACCAAGCATAGAAATAAATACAATATGGGAACCAGTAATAAGGAGTGCCAGAGAAAAGCAATGATAACAAAGTTGCAATATGAACTCTGGTAAAGACATGCAATGATAACAGCAAAAATTGCAATATGAGCACTGGTAAAAATGATGCTGAAAACATTAGGTTTATAATACTCAGAAGTTCATACCCAGATGTCCTCATGGCACAGTGGATAAAGGCGTTGGTTAGATCCAGTGACAGACCCAAAGAAGGTGAGTTCAATTCCTGGTTAAGGCAGTGGAGAACTTTCAGAGGGAAAATTAGCAGGAGATAACTGATAACTGACATCCATCAAACATGGCACGTGGAATGAGAACAGTCTACCCCAGCGATCGAAATAAAGGGTTCAGTTCGAAATTCCAACCACCTGAAGAAGGCCGGAGCCTACAACGGCCGAAACGTTGTGACAAATATGGCGACAAAGATGAGGAAAATAGTCCGACTAATGAAAAAAAATGGTTTACGCCGAATAAAACACCTCGGCCAGGAAATTATTGGTCAGGTGGTCGACTTTTGTTTATAAAGGACTCACTATTCAAAACTGAGGCTACAATTAATCTTTCGACTCGGAATTTCGCAGACACATATTTGTTCGTCAGGAAATAAATAGATTTATCTTAACTCAGACGAGCGAATCTCGAAATATCTGTGAAACCCCGATTAACAGTTGTTGTTCTCATTTATCTATTCACTACATACAGAAACATAACGCGTTATACTTACATATGTATTGTCATCTATATAATAGATTCGAAAGACACTGTGTCACACTTTTTCAACTTTACTGCTATAGGCTATAGTCCAATATATCATAACGATTTCGAATCAGTCTGATTCTGTAAGCAAATTCAAAAAATTCCGGTCTGGATCCTTAAGCCTGAAATTTTCGATTCCGAAATTTTCATTACTGCGATTGTTTTGGGTGATTTTTTGATCTGATTTTTTTGCGACGAATTCTTTGTACGAAACCAATTTTTATAAATTGGAAATAAATTTGGGAATATTTGAAATTAATTGCGAAATCCAACGAAAGTCACCCATAAAATAAATAATTATTTATACAGAAAGTACGTACATCAAATTGTCTCCCAATTAAGTGGCGACAGACGAATTATCGTCGAGCTTTTACAAGGTAAGAAAAATATTAATGCAATACTTTAATGGAGTGATCTATTTTGAAGTCTTCTATAGTTTATAGTTGCCTACTCCTCTCAATCTATTATGAAACTATATAATATAATAGTATAATATATAATATAGCATGTATAATAATATATTATATATAATATAATATATCATGTATAATAATATATTATATATAATATAACATGTATGATGATAGATTATAATATAATATGTATAAAAATATATTATATATAGTATAATGTAACATGTATAATAATATATTATATATAATATAATATGTATAATAATATATTATATATAATATAATAGTATAATATATACAAACTTAAATGCCTCCAGATAGAACGGCTTTTCAGCTGGTATATATTTGAAACTACATATTCAGTTAAAAAGCATCCATGTTAATGGCAAATAAATTAGCCGAAAGCGGTTGGATCTCTAGAGTATATTAACAGTTTTTACACATTCTGTGTCCAGAAAAGCTAATATTTGTACGAATGCGGGAAAAATTTAATAAAAAGCTTAATCGCAGTACCGTGTCAGTCCTTCAATGAAACTCTTACAAATTTATACACACCCACTCACACATACGCATATATATATATATATATATATATATATATATATATATATATATATATATATATATATATATATATATATATGTAATATCTTTCATAGCCATTTGTAAAAATGAAATATACTCTTGATTCATATAATATTCGTCGTAAAAATGTTCCGTTTCAAACTCGTCTCGACTTTCCCGAGGATATTTGACGAAAAAGAACGAACGCGCAATTACCAAACCGGAAATTAGACATTAATAACACATCGCTTCTGCGCATGGGCAGATATGACACGTGCGGTTTCAAAAGATGAAATCATGCTGTACAAAATATTGTCTGCATAAGCGTTCGCCTGAGCTCGGTAGATTTTTGTGCATTGACTTTCTAAGAAAAGCTGCTTATTTTTGTTAGATGAATAGAGAATGAAATAAAAAAAAAACACAAAAGAAAGAAGAAAAAAAGTTTTGACATTAAACATGAGATTGAAAAACAGTTTATAGTCGGGGTGCATCGAGGTGGCATGATTGGATGGAAAAGCAAATTCAAGCAGAACGATAATTTTAAAAAGTGTATAAATTTGAAAGATATTTTGCAAATAAACGCATACACGCACAAATACACACGCACATTAACGTTCGGACTACTACTACTACTACTAATATTAATACTATTAATAATATATATATATATATATATATATATATATATATATATATATATATATATATATATTTGATAAATGTACATATCCGTCAAAGATCGCACAGCTCGGAAATTTCTTCAGGTGGATTTTACATAAAACTCCCAGTCGAGTGAACGGTAAGGGATAATAGGTATATTTATTAATATATACTTAATTTATTTTATAACATCGAGCACTGTTTTATTAATACCAGCACATTATGTACAATTCATATATATATATATATATATATATATATATATATATATATATATATATATATATATATATATATATATATAAAAAAAGTATAGTTTCGGTGTGCTGTATTTTTTTGGGTA